AAAGTCCTAGGATACATGCTGGACTGAAAAATGATAGTTATTTTAGGGGAGGCAACTGTTTAGGAGAGGATGGGGGTGAAGGCTACTCATCTGTTATATTCCAAAGAATACTCATGCCCTTTCCCCCCAACATGGGCAGATGGTAAGGACCATCAGCATAGGAGCGCCCAGTCACAGGAAGACTAAGGAAGTCCCACAACTCATGGACACTAGACACGGCTGCCATGCTTCTCCAAGTTCCTTTTCTAGTTTAAAGAATGTGGTCAGAGACCCAATAGAGCAGGATACATCTTCACTAGGGGCTGGAGTTCAAGTAGTTCTTTTTTTTTTTTTTTTTTTTTTTTTTTTTTAGTGTTTATTTATTCTTGAGTGGGGGGGACAGAGCATGAGTGGGGGAGAGGCAGAGAGAGAGGGGTGAGGAGACACAGAATCTGAAGCAGGTTCCAGACTCTGAGCTGTGAGCAAAGAGCCCGACGCGGGGCTCAAAGTCCCAAACTGAGAGATCATGCAGACAACCCACTGAGCCACCCAGGCGCCCCAGAGTTCAAACAATTCTAACCTCCCCTCCTGTTCTCTAAGGACTTTGGGGGGTTAGACCAGTGAGAGTTTTTTGGCCTGTGTGTCACTACAAGCAAGATGAAAATGTAGTTCTTCACATGGGGAGAACCACCCCCATTTTGTATATGAGGAAACTGAATGTCAGTTTGAGTGTCAACCATCCCGACCACACACGGCGGAAGGCGCAAGACATCAAGCATCACTTTTCCACCTCCCCAAGTATCTGAGGGGACCTTGCTCCTAAAGTGGTGTCTAAGAGTAGATATTGGTCCTCGTTGTCTGGAAGGGAAGCCTGGGGATGTAGAATCTGAAAGGAGGGGCAGGCGGGGAAAAGGGAGGAGGCTGGGATCCCGTAGAGTCCGGTCCCTGAGTGGCAGATGAAGATCCAGCGGAAATAACAGGAATCGGAACAGGATAAGCCCTCCCCACAAAGAGGCAGAGGCGGGTAGTGCAAGGGCACAGCTACAGATGCAGCTTCCGACTGGAGCCACAAGCAGGGTGGCTGAGGGCATCTAGGACGCCATGGGTTGAACCTTTCCAGAGGCTACAGCTCTACCTTTCCTTGCCAAGTACAGGCTGGACATGAAGTGATAGGGCACACCAGGCAAGGGGAGGCCAAGTTCAACACAGAAAATGGGCCCAGTTCCCAAAAGACAAGTTCTTGGGAGTTTATCAGAAAACAATTTCCAGGCACTGGAAATGTAAATTGCTTACTCATTTCAGAAAACCACACCTGTGACCCAGGAATTCCTTTTCTGAGTTTGCACTTGAGCACTGGCTTTCAAGCTCTGGGAGATGACCCATTCATTGGCTGTGAAATCGGTTTAGCATACAGCAACAAGTCTTTCTTTTAACAGAATGCAGCACAATACAAAATAAGACATCAGAATATATCACACGCAATTAGGGTGTTGTTTCAGGAAACAAAATTACAGGTATGTAAAACTGTTGGTTACACATGCACACGTATTACACACATACAAGCAGCACACTCTCCCTCCCTCCAGATGACCAAATGGTTCACTCCCTCCGCTGCAGCTGTCCAAGTGAGGTCAGTCCCTCTCCACGCGATGTACAATCAAACCATGTTTCTGACAACTTTTCCTATTTTTATTTTACTTTACAGCACTATCCCCATCAGGTTCTCCCGGGCGGACGTGTTTTCTTGATAGGACTTCTGGCAGCAACAAGGACATAAACTATCTGGTCACGGAGACTTGTCAAAAATATTCTGGGATGGGTCCTCATTGGCCTATTTTGTAACAAGTGACCATTCCTGGATCAATACAAATGTGGGGCCAGGAAGAGATGGTATCATCTGTGATAAATGTCAACTCACACATTCACAAGACAGGTTATATTACTTGGAAGAATACAGAAGAGTTGCCTTGAGCAGACAAAAAGCAATAGTCACTACACACAATATATAGTACATGCTCAAAACGCCATTATCAAGCTGACGAGGAAAAGGGTGAATTGATCAAAAAATGCAGGGACAACTGGCTACTGATTTGGAAGAATACAGAGCTGCGTATCTCACAACACATATAACGAGAAACACCACAAGAGATGTATGAAGAAAGCAATTCAACATACTACCTGCTTCATGCATGTCAACAGAGACACCTGCCACAGTGCTCAGTTCCAAAGAGAATTTACTTATCACACAAAAGCACAATGGAGCAGAAATATGGAACTTTCAACTAGTAGAGTAAGTTTATTTCTAATACGGAGACTTTACATAGGAATTTACAGAAATGAAAACACACTGAGCAGCTCATCAGCCGTTAGCTCCTCCCAGACCTGCTGTCCCCTTTCTCTGTGCCCACCTCAGCTAACCCGCACGTAGCACCGGGCTGGGTACTCCAAAGGGAGGCACCAGCAATCCAGTGCCACAATTCTGGTAGTGACAGTGTCTCCTAGGAGATGGTCTCTCCTCCGTGAGAGCAGCTCTTAATGGGCTCTGGTGACACCTGTCTCCATCCTTCGCCCCTTTAGGATTTAGACTGGCCATGGCTTCTCAGTGATGCCAGCCCCTAGGTGCTTCAGTATTCCTTGTTTCTGGCCCAAACCGCTGTGAGAAGTCTGCCATCAGAATCTTAGTTGGGGTAGCATTCTGGTTTTCATCAGAACCAAGGCTGATACAAAGAGCTATCCCTGTATTAACTTGTCAAAAGAAATCATTCTTCCCCCAAATCACTGTATAGAACATAAACACTTAGAACTAAGTACGTGTCGGTACCAGCTGGAATGCTTCAGCTCTAAGTGACAGACAGCCCTAAGGATCAATAAGAAACCATTACTACTGCAGTAAAGTCCTAGCAGAAAACAGGTCCAGATGGAGTTGTGCAGCTCTATGACGTCACCTCTGAGCCAGGCTTTTTCCATTTTGTCTATTGTTCTCTTCAGGCTATTGCCCTTCAGGGCCACAAGCTATAATTTGGTACAACATACAAACATGAAAAAATCCAGCATAAGAGAGGCAATCTCTCCTTGTGTCTTCTCATGCCATGACAATATTTTATCACTGAGATCTTTCCCAGAAGTACCGCAGAATATTTTCCAAACATCTCACTGCTCACGTGTCCATCCCAACAAAATCATTAGAATAGCATCTCCATGATTAACTTAATCTGCATTTACTCCTAAATTGCCTGGGGGTGGGGGGATGGGGGATGGGAAGAGAAACAAAACAGCCCAGCAAGTAAGAAGTAGAGAATGGGTGCTGGGTGGGCAGTGTCCTTGGAACCGCTGATCAGTGTGTTCCAAGGAGGCACAGGAAACAGAACAAAGGAGGAAGAGACAGTATATGACATCCTATTATTTTAAATACAATTACATAGTTCCAGTTCCTGGGTCACATACAACGTATCATGCCTAAGTAGATACAACAACCCAATACCAAGAGAATGAACGTGGCATTCTAGCGCATAGCACTACTTTTATTTGTGGAGAGTAGGGAGTATTCCTGTTCTTAACTGATGGAGACCTGTGCAAAATTCATGGGATACCATTGTTATTAACAGCTCTTACGTTACAGACTGACCCAGAGGCAGCTGAAAAAACTCAGAAAAATACTATCTGGCTTCTTTTGGGAAGCAGTAGTTCAGTAACAACAGCCCTACTCACTCATCATATACGCCAGCAATGTCACAGAAGAGGGTGGTGATGCGGTGGTGACACAGCACAGACTGGCCAAACTACGAAGAGGCTCTGGTAGTATTTACAATGAAGACTGATGTAAAGGTAGTTAAAAAAACCTCACAAAAACAGATTTGGGGATCTTTATTGAAGACGCAGTTCAGCGATAATGGCCACAGCCATTTATTTATGGCGGGAAATGGGACAGGGGGTAAGGTATATAGTTTGTACTTTAAATTTTCCAAATATATTTTCATATATACACAGCGGTGTGCCGGTAAATATTTGACAACAGGCTGTCTGAGAAAATAAAAAAATAAAAACCCCGGTTTGTAGGGTTTGCCAATTTGCAGGGTGTAAACACTCCCACTAAAGCCAAGCTACCCTCACGACTGAGTACAGAGGTGGGAAGGGACGGGCAGGAGCACGTGTTGTATGGTATTGTCACCATGCAGACTCGATACTGTGAGTGACCTAAAGAACAAGGCTAATAGCAAAATATTATAAAATAATTAGGAAGCAAGGAGTGCTGAGTATTTATTACCTTTGTTTTTAATATAATTTAATTTTTAAATAATGATTATGTTCTAAGAACTGGCTCACAAAATTCCTGGGAATTTAACCATCAGCAGTACTTGCAAGCCATTGCGGGCTTACTCTAACACACTACTGCATCTGTGTGGGTATGTGTGCATAAATATATTTACATCTACATATATACATCTATATTTATGTCAACCTGTAGACACTGGTGGTATTTAGTGTGGGAAACATTAATACAGACCGTAAGTTATTTAATGAAGGGATATTTTCTCCACAAGTTCGTTGGACTCCAATTTGCAAATCAAGCGTACATCCAATTCCTATTACATTGCTATACCCACATTGGGCCTGCAATCGTCAGAGACTCCTCACATAAATGTTTAATGCTGCTGTGATTGAACTTTTTTTAAGCTTCAGATTCCACTGTGAGTCTGGGTATGAATGAATAATACCATCCACTGTATTTACAATAAAATTTGGTATCACATCTGGAATGACACAACATAAATTCTAGACAAAGATTTTTACATTACTTAAGTGAATAAACTTCCCCTCAATATAAATTTTCTGATGAAAAGTTTCAGTTTTTGAGAGCTTTCACATATTCAAAATATCTGTAAGGTTTCATTCTAGTATTAACTATTTGAAGTACAACAAGATGTCGCTTTCTAGTAACATGAGGCATTCTTTGGGTCTCATTCATCTCATTTTCAAAAATGGTGTAAGACTTTGAAAGGGTGGGTGGAGACTTCTGGACATCAGGATGTTGAAAGAACTTTCACCCTCGTGTGAATTCTCTGATGTTTCGTCAGTACTGACCTCTGACTAAAGGTTTTCCCACATCCGTTACACTCATAGGGTTTCTCTCCTGTGTGAGTTCTCTGATGTTTAGTGAGAGCTGATTTTTCACAGAAGGTTTTCCCACACTCATTACATTTATAGGGTTTCTCCCCTGTGTGAGTTCTTTGATGTACAATGAGGTTTGACTTCACACAGAAGGATTTCCCACATTCATTACATATAAAGGGTTTCTCTCCTGTGTGTGTTCTCTGATGTACAGTTAGGGCTGACCTGTGGCAGAAGGATTTCCCACACGTATTACATTCATACGGTTTTTCCCCGGTGTGCGTTCTCTGATGTTCTGTGAGGTTTGACTTTACGCAGAACGTTTTTCCACACTGCTTACATGCGTAGGGTTTTTCTCCTGTATGTGTTCGCTGATGGTTGGTAAGGTGTGGTTTCTGACAAAACGATTTCCCACATTCAGTACATTCATAGGGTTTCTCTCCTGTGTGTGTTCTTTGATGCTGAGTGAGGTTTGACTTCTCCCAGAATGTTTTCCCACATTCACCACATTCGAAGGTTTTTTCTCCTGAGTGAGCTCTTCGAAGTTGGGTGAGATGGGACTTCTTGCTGAAGTTATTCCTATTTTCATGGTGCTCATAAGGTTTTTTGCCCATGTGTACTATCTGATGTTTAAAGAGGGATGACTTTTCCCACGTTTTATGACTCACTTTATATTCGTGGGGAATCTTTCTTGCATAGGTTCCCTGATGGATAATGAAAGTTGAGTCATCACAGAAGGTTTGCCCATATTCGTCATATTCATAAGGAGTCTCCCCTGTAAGAGTTCTCTGGTGTCCCAATCTTAAATCAGTATAGAAGGACTTCCCACAAAGACTGCATTCATATGGCTCCATCTCCAAATGAGTTCTCTGAGATAAACTGAGTTCTAAACTGTGGATGAAGGTTCTTCCACATGCATTGTATTTACAGAGCGTCTCTCCTACCTGTATTTTCTTGTTTGTGAAAAATGCCGCTTCCTCATGGAAGGCTTGTCCATTTTCATTATACTCAGAAGGCTGATCAAAAATTGGCTGACTGAGATCGTGACTATGATGGAGCACATTTCTTTTTTGATTATATTTATAAGATTTCCCTCCAGGAGGAGTTTTCTCATGCCTGATGTCAAGGAGCAATTTCTCATATACATTAAACTCATCAGGCTTCTTTCCAGAATAGCTCTTTCTACTAATAATTAAGCCTGAAATATTTTTCAAACTCATTTCACACGAGTCACATATCTTATATGGAAAATTTCTTGAAGGAACAGAATCTGTGCCCAGATTGAAAGTTTTTCTTACTCTAGCACCACTATCTATATTTAATGTTTTGTTGGCGGTAAAATCAAGTTGCCAAAAATGTTCGTCTTCATTGTCCTGGCTGCTCTCTATCAGGTCATCAACTTTCCAGTCTTCTAAAATGAGAAAAATAACCACATCTTATGAATCCTAGTACATTTCTAATGGAAACGAACTCACACAAACGCCCTTTTATCTAGTTGATACTTTTGTCTTAGGCTCGGTTTCCTGGTGTGAACTAAATCCAAGCATACGTTTTTTATCCTTCTGCTTTCACTGGAAAATAAAGACACGCGACAGTGGAAACAGGGAAGGAACCTGGCAATGACATTTAACATTTTATTATTTTTTAATTGTTTTTTAAGTTTTATTTATTTTGAGAAAGCGAGCGCACAAGCAAGCATGAGCAGGGGAGGGGCAGAGAGAGAGAGGGGGAGGGAGAATCCCAAGCAGGCTCTGCACTGACAGTGCAGAACCCGATGCATGGCTCGAACTCACAAACCATGAGTGAGATCATGACCTGAGCCGAAATCAGGAGTTGGACGCTTAACCGACTAAGCTGCCCAGGTGCCCTGACATTTAACATTTTAAACACGTAACCTTCAAAACTGGACAGGAAAGGGTGAAAATTCAAAGCACAGGGAGCCAGGAGTGGCTGATTCAGGGGAACTCAGAGAATGGGGTCAGCCCGACAGAGACCCTGAACACTGCATAAAGTGACAGTGGAGATTAGCGGACAGGGCTTTCAGAGGATGAACTATGTTTGGTGGAGACAGAACAGTCCAGTCCTAAATCCCCTCAGACACAGATTTCTGGGGCAGGATTCCTGCTGGAGCATATCTTCTATCGATGCACCAACACCAACTTCCTCAGGTTCCACCAGGAGGTCCTACAGCCCAGAATCTTGTTTTTCTTTTGACTTATTTCACAAGAAATAATTATTTTTTTTAAAAAAGCTGTAAGAAGCAGGCTGGAAGTGAAATAAACTCAAGACACGGTGAGCAAGGGCTGGAGATTTTCTGAGAGGTGTCCATTTAGGAAGCAAGAAATGTAGAGAATTGGATGAGTTCAACAAGGGAGGGTTTTTTGTTTTGTTTTGTTTTGTTTTTTAGTAACAAATAAACTACAAATAGACTGTTTGAAAAACACGGCCGAGGAAGATTTCAGAGGCAGATCATGGCTGATGTCCTCACATCCTCACAGCCCGACCTCGAACTACGGTAGGATCCTCGCCTGTGTGCGTGTGGCCATTCCTTTTTTCCCCTCCGTTTGACAGATCAGCATCAGAAGACATTTCTGAAAGCACCTATTTCCTCATGTTTTGAAGGACACTGCTTCACCTCAGACTCTCATTCTCTACCTAGCTGTGATTCACAACAGCACAAATATCCAGTAGGAAATACAAAACAGATGAGGGGCGGGCCATCTCTGCAAAGGAACAGGTTCATTTTGTTTTCTCACAGCTGTTAATGAATCTGTCCTGACCGGCAAGTCACACGATTACTCACCCCAGTCTGCTGGCTTACTTCTCCCCAAAACATTCTGTTTCTGAGGCAATGCTGATCTTTAAGTCTGCTTTTATATCTAAGCGTATCTTTCACATCAAGGTTTTCTGCCTTTACACCTAGCCTCACCTGTGGCTTTTACCTACTTATGAGACTTCCTTATAGAAGGATCACTCCTCTACACGGTTCTGAGACCTTCCACAAACCTTATCGTACAAATTCTTGGCTGTGCTTCACTGCTGCTACCCAATGCAACAATGTTCATTCGTGTGAAAAAAAGTCTAATGCCGTCCTGAGCCCACTGCTCCAAGGACCGACTGATAACAGTTACTACACTGCAAAAACAAATTAAAAGTAAGTGTGCAGGCCGCCCTGTCACAAGTCCATTAACAGGACTTCTGTGCAGCTCCAGCTGGGCCTCTCATAAACCGCTCACTCCCAGAGACACACCTTTCACCTGGCCAGCTGCGCTCCAGCCCCCTTCTTCCTGGAACCTGGACATCTTCCAGGAAATGCTGCTTTCTTTAATTGAAAACAACCACAAAAATAACAAGCAAAGAATGAACGCCAACGAGCACCGCGACACCCCTTCCACCTCCAGCCTTTAGTCGCTGTCTTCAGAACAAGTTTACTGCCTGTGAAATTCACCATAGTGTAAGGAAAGTCCTTCACTCCATGCTACACCTTTGTGAAGACCGCAGTCTGGCTCTTGGCGGGTGTTACCAAAATCCTGCTTCCTCTGACCTCACTAAAGAGGCAGAATATGAATGACTCTTAAAAGGAATGTGAATGTGAATCATTTCCAAACTGTTCCTGACGGGCTGGTATACATGAGGACCAAACGGCAATGTGCATTTAGGAGAAGTACCACAGAATGCATTCTGAATCGATGAAAAAGAATGATCTCTTCCAAACGTGGCTCCATAGTTAATCAACAAAGTAATTAGTAAACTGTCAGAATTAGGAAAATAAAGGGCTTTCTCTTTGGGACAACAAAATCTCAATAAAGAAAGAAACCCTAAACAAGGGTGCTATGATTAGATCTGAGTTTTGGGGATACGGCCAATCGTGGGTGAGGGTCATAAAATATGGGCCACTTAAGTGATAGGAAAAAAACCTTGAGTTCTAACTTAAAATAAGTGAAATAATAACAAGCCATCACAGTGTACCGTGCAATGTCTAAAGAATTCACATGGACACTATTAAGTATCTGAAAAGGCAAAGTAAACAAGAATAAAAGTTGTAAATAAGACAAAGCATTTATAAGTGAAATTTAAGATATAGGAAAGTATGGGGTTTGGTATAAATTCTGAAGAGCAGAGAGAAAGAAATGACATAGGCAGCATAGGACCACACTGCAATAGTCAGTGAAAACAGACTTCAATTTTAATTTTATTTTTTAATAACTAGCAACTTTTCCAGGCTAGTGAAAGATAAATTGGATGCTTTAGGTAAGAAAATAAAAACCAGTTAGTAATTAGATCGAGCCAGGAATGAGAGAACACAGATGCAGTTCTGGTTTTGAGTGGGATCAGTGAGAAACCGAAGAGGCAAGAAGACGGTTCTGGAAGGCAAACAACCCAGGAACATGAGGAGACCAGCAACAGGGGAAAACGGGGTTTAGCGGGCTGGTGCCGGAGCTGCCAGTGAAGGTAGAAATACAATGGCAGACTGTTCCCTGTTGGATTCCTGGGAAACCAGGCTCCAGGGTTTTCCTGTCACTCAGGCTACTCCTTCTCCAGCTCCTCTCACGATGCGATTTAACGGACTGTAAACCACTTGTAGAAGTGGAACTGTTCCAGGGCCACTGCTTTTACTTGGAAACAACCACTCTCTAGAAAAGGAGTCTGCTGGCTGAGCGGAGTCCTTGATCAATGAATGCTTTTTACATCTTTAGAGGGAAAGATAAAAGAAGCAGTAGGGAGGAGCGGAAAGGAAGAAGAGAGGCGAGAGAAGAGGAACCAGGAAGGAGGAGGAGCAGGAGGAGGGGGAGGAGGAGGAGCAAGAACAGGAGGAGAAGGGGGAGTAGGAGGAGTAGGAGGAGCAGGG